ATTTTATGAATGATTTTTTAAAAAAACTTCTAAATGATTTTAATTTTTATTATTTAAACAACATCTTAATCTACTTTATAAATACAAAAGAGAATGAACTTTATATTTTTTGTATATTACAAATGCTTAGAGATATAAGACTATATGCTAAGATAAAAAAATATATTTAATGTAACTCAAGTTGACTTTTTAGGATGCACTATTTGAAATGATGGTCTTATTATAAATCTTAAGAAAGTTCAAACTATCATGGATTAAATTTTTTCTAAAAAAATATAAAATGTCTAATATTTTTTAAATTTTTTAATTATTATTAAATTTTTTTTATTTTTTTTATGTTACAACTTAACTTACACATTTGACTTATAAAAACAAACTTAAAAGGAATAAAGAAGTAGATGCATTATTTGAAGATTTGAAGTTAATTTTTAATTTTATACTAATTTTATATTATATCAATTTTTTTAAATCATTTTTTTATAAAATAGATATATTAGAATTTAATTTAATTATGATATTGTTACAAATGGGAGCAAATGACAAACTTCACCAAGTAGCTTTTTATTTAGGATTTTTTTTATGCAATCAAGACCAATAATAAGATCCACTACAAAAACTTTTTATAATTAAAGATTCATTTTGAAAATAATGTCATTATCTAGAAGGCACTTTAAGCCTAATCATTGTTTATACAAATCATAAGAACTTCAAATATTTTATATCAATATATATATATATATATATATATATATATATATACATTCCCAAGCTTGTTGAAACATGTCCTTGTCTAGATTTAAATTTGTGATTATTTATCTACCAAAAAAATTATAAGGTTTGTGGAATGCCATTTTAAAATATTCTTATCTTATATCATAAGAAAGAAATACAACTTTTGATCAATAAAAAATGATCCTTTTGAAGACAATACTTTCATCTTCAAGCCATGAAATTATTATTGAATATTGATTCAACTTTTTTTAAGTAAGTTCAATTAAGTATATCTTCAAATCCTCTTTTTTATGATATTAAGAATAATCTATCTAAATTTCATAAAAATTTCAAGTTTTGAGTTCAAAAATAATCTACTTTATTTCAAGGGATCTTAATATATTTCAAAAGGTGAAGCATAATCTTGTGCATTTCAAGCTTATGATAACTTTTTAACTATAGGATATTTTAAAAATAATAAGACTTCGAAATTCATATAAAGATTTTTTTGGTAGTATTAAATATAATAGGCAATTAAAAGCTTTGTAGAATCATGAGATATTTGTTTAAGATAAAAAAACTCATTGTTATTGATCTTAGCCATTTTTAGCCATTATCTATATTTGAGCAGTCATGGTCTTTTGTTTCTATGGATTTTGATGGTAGATTATTTTACCAAAATGGTTTATTTTGTACCATGTAAAAAATATATTACAAGTGAAGAAATGATTAATTTTTTCTTAGATAATGTTTATTGCTATCATAGTTTATTAAGACATGTTATATTTGGTAGAAGGACTTAATTTATATCACGATTTTGAAAAATCCTTTTTAAAATATTGAAGGTAGATATAAAACTTTCTTTGACTTTTCATCTTCAAATTAATGGACAAATAGAACAAATGAATTAAGTTTTGAAATAATATTTGAGATGTACCATCAACTACCATTAAGATGATTATATAACTTTTTTACCATTGACAAAGTTTGTTTATAATAACACAATATATTTTATCACTTAACAAAGACTTTTTTATACAAATTATGGTTATTATCTATAATTTGATACTTTTGACTTCTCAGAAATTGATAATCCTATAGCAAAAAAATTGATAAATTATTTATCAAAATTACATACAATAATAAAGGCATAATTAAAAGAAGCTCAAGATCAACATGGATACCTATCACAAGGAATAATTTGAATTCTATGTTGGCTATAAGATATGGTTACTTTATCATAATATCAAGATTAGTTATTTTTATGATAAGTTGGATTATTATAGACTTAGATCATTTCTTATTAATAAACAAATCAATCTAATTTCTTATCATTTACATATACTTAAGTCTATGAAGATCTATCTTATATTCCATGTGTCTCTTTTTAAACCATATAAGACAATAGATATACCATAAAGAAGAAAATTACTACTTCTTCTTATAAAAATGGATAATAATTATAAGTTTGAGGTTAAAAATTCTTAGATTAAAGGCAGTGTTGGAATATCTTATATATTAATGTAGATATGATATTAGTGAATACACATGAAAGCCATCCAAAAACCATACAAATGCATAAAAGAAGATTAAAATTTTTCATTAATGTCATCTATTAAAACTAAGATAATGAGTCAAACAATTATTGTTACAAAAGAAATAACGTTCACTATAGATTGTATTTTATCTTCAACCTTTGTATATGATTTTAAAGTATTTGTAGTACTAAAAAGATTAAGAATCAAAAATTTATAGATTTAACTCAAAAAATATTATTTAATGAGTTGCCAAATAATGCATTGAGTTTATTATAATCTTTAAGATGATATAATAGCTATAAATATCTTTAAGAATAACAATTTTTTTTAAATAGATATTACAAAGACTTTAATAGTAATTAAATATTAGAGTAGTCTTCATGCTTTGATATAAAATATTATTCATAGTTGAGAGGACCTATCAACTATCTTCAAAGAGAACAAAGATTAAAATATGTGACAAATATAATTTTTTGCATCTTGAACTTTTTTAATATATAATTTCTAATCCTTTTGGAATTCATTTCTAGAAAAAAAAAAAAAAAAAAAAAAAAAGATAATGTTATAGACATATATAATTATCTAAATAAAAAAATTTAGATAGAAGGTAATTAAAAATAGATTTAATAATATCTTATGGCAAAGCTATGTAGAAGCTTCATAGGTGCAGATTTGATTTTAGATATATTTGTAGTTGATTGTTAGGTTTGAAACTTAATTAACAACTTAGATGCATGTTGTACATGTTGATGACTTGTGGTACAAATTAGGCATGTGGCAAATATATAAAAAACTTGCTATACAAGTTAGATACGTATATGAGGTTCTATAGAATATTGCCACATAATTCTTAATTAGATAGTATATGTAGAAACAAAAGTGAAGCCTTCTTCACTGTTGTCAATGCCTTTTTTAGTCTCTAGTCTTATTTCAAGAGTCTCTAGTATTCTTTTCTTTGGCAATAGCCATTCTTATTCTAATATATTACTATTTTTGAATAAATACCTATTCTTTTTAAGTGACACAAGAATATATTGAGATTTTTATTGTTTGAAATTTATGTCCTTGATACTAAAACAACCTTAGTTTGGTTAATAAAAAAAAAAAAAAAGAAAAAAAAGAAAAAAAAACAATGTCAATTTTGGATATTAAATTAAAAAATTCAAATAAGATGTAAGATTTTAATAAGATTAACAAAAACTCCAAAGATAAGAAAAATTCTTCAACTAGGGTTTGTTTTATACTTATATTATTTCTAATTAGTTATAATGGCTAGCTATTCATTTAGGTAGTTATTTTACTATTTTGTTCTCACATAATTTATTTTAACTTAAGTATCTTGTTTTAAAGTAGATTGACTATTTATAGTATATTTTGTATTTATAATCTATATTTTAATCTAGCTTAATTTGATTTTTAGATGAAACAAGTATATCTAATCTACATTAGATTTTTTATCTGAATCATATTTATTTGGATTCATTTAATATTTGGATATTATTGGTTTAAATTTAATTTCATATTAATAGAGTCTATTAAAATCTAATAATTTATTAATTGTCTAATATTTTGACATAGCTATTATATTAAGCTACTTTGTTTTAATAAATTGGTTTATTTGATTAAATTTTAAAATTGATTCTTTAAGTAAATAAAACATCCATTATTTTTAAAGAATATATATATATATATGAATGAAGATTGTTTTGAAGAATATATCTAATGTGATTTTGATGAAAAATTTAGAACAAAATAGTGTTTTATTATTTTCCAAAAACAATTAAAAAACTAAAAAAATTAAAAAAACATGGTTATCAATCATAATATGTAAGTATACCTAATCTTATAGTAAGTTTCACTCACTTCTACTTTGATGAATTCAAAATAAAGATGTTTTTCGTTTTTACAATTAGAAAGTAAAAAGAAACTTAAAAGAGATCAGTAAAAAGCTTTTGAAAAACACCATGTTCTTTTCAGAACATTATATCCATATACTGAAAGTGATCATCTCGTACGACATCCTATGAGTTCACTTAGGTATGTTGTCCTCGAATCTTTGAATTCCACAAGCAAGTTTTCTAGTTCTCGCTGCTAATTATGCATCAAACTCCACTCTAAGATGGAGAAAAAACAAAAAATAAAACAAAAAATAAAAAACCAGGGCAATTTTAGCTACGAAGAAGATGTCACATTCTCCAGTTCCTTTTTCTGCTATTACCTGTAAACCGTGACTCACTCCAAATAGAAAGATGAAGAAACAGGTACACAACAGTACTGCTTCTGCAAATCAGGTTCTGCATGAGTGCAAGACTTCCACGAGGCCATTGATATGTGTCCGGAATAGTTAGATGAACTGTAACACATCGACGGTAGTCCACATCTCCTTAAAGAGGATTTCCACGCCATGTTTTCGTAGAGGCAGGTGGCGAAAAAATCGATTAAAGTATTTTTAGAATATGACCAAAGCTTGGTTTCACAGTTTACAAAACAAGAGGAGTTTGGCGATGTGCAAGGAAATGGGACAGCTACTGCAGCAATAGTGACTCAGTGTTCCTCTTTTAATGAATTCGCTGCATAGATGGAGATGGTAGTGTGTGAAGAATGTCCCTTCAGTTTGTGCCGCAAAGATCACATCAAGGTTCAAGATTGGTTGATGTCGTAGTTGGGTACAAAGGCATTTGAAGTTTCAAGTTCTGCAGACTCTCCGTTTGGTTTGTCATTGTCCAGTGCATTCGACTTTTACTCACAGTATTTACTAAAGGTCATTTGAATTGTAGCATCTTAACATCTCTGTCGCACGGAGGGCTCAAATGAAGGAGCTAACATTTGGGGCATGTTGTAAAAGCCGAAGTCTGATTCCTACGTGTCTCTGACGAAGGCTGTGAACGACGAAAACACATTAAACTCCTGAATTTTCACCACGGTTTCAGGTAAACATAACACACTGCACTCCTTCCAATGTGTAAATACAGAGAATCATTGTTCAACTTGCTTCCTACGGACCTCTCCATACGCAGCGCTATGTTGAGATATCAAAATCTGAGAAGGTTCGTGAAATGGTTCCGCATGTTGTACCACATATTCAAAGTACTTAAACCCTTCTTCATACCGTTCAGCTTTTGCAAAGGCCTTAACCAATACACCGTATGTTACAATGTCAGCTATAAAGCCCTCGGCCTCCATCTGCTTCAACAACCTTTCTGCGTCGTCACAACGCCCTGCTTGGCCATATGCCTCCATGAGGGTTGTGTAGCTGCGAGTGTCGGGTACCACTCCACTGCTTTGCATCTCCTCAAATGTCTTCAATGCCGCCTGCACATCAGAAGTAAAGCCACATGCCAAGAAGCAGCTTATACTCCAGACTAATAAATGAAAGGATGGCGAACACATTATTACTCTCCTAGTTTTGTATTCAGAAACTCTGGGACAAGTGATGTCTCAGCTCATTAAATAAAGCACTTCACACATTCAGAACTACACTGAAAATCTTACTAAAGGAGGACCAAAATAATATTCTAGCATGGGGTTTGAATGGCTGACAGGCAATGGCTAGATAGCACATTTTTCCTACGAAACCACATTATCTAAAAATTCCTCGAGTGAATGTTTCTGATGTAATAGATCTTGGACAGACCTGCAGAGCGATAGCAGTTTCGAATATTTTCAAAGGAATTTAGATTTATATCCAGATGTGCCACTTTTCAAGAAAAATATGATAGTGATCGAATACAACACAATACCTTATACATGCCATGATGGCTGTAGCTGTTCATTAGTCCACAATACGCAGTCGCATTTGGGACGCAACCTGTCGCCCTCATTTCAACCCAAGCTCTTTCTGCCTCTTCGAAGTACCCCAATCGCCCATACATATTTATCAAGGCACTAAAGCTGACAAGATTGGGCGAATGACCAGCGGCTTTCAGCTCGTGAAAGATCTGCATAGCTTCACTTGCACTGCCGGCTTTACCAGCGGCATCCAGCAAAATGTTGTAAGTCCAAAGATCAGGAGTGCAACCTGCACGCTTCATAGTTTTCAAGAGATCCCTAGCCCTTCCCCTCCTGCTCCATTTGCTGTATGCATCGAGCATTGTGTTGTAAGTTACCTGCACAATCATTCAAAAGTTTCTCCAAGTGATACAAGCAATATTGATACAATGTTCTTGGAATATCTTGAAAGCTAGCAACGAATAATTTAGAAAAGCATGTGTAAATATGGGATTGATAGGCACCCTATCTGGAGTGCAACCCTTCCGTTGCATTTCGAGGAAGACACCTTCAGCCTCCGCAAACAGCCCACCTCTACCGCACATGTCAATGACAGTATTGTACGTGTAAAGGTCTGGGATGCACCCTTCATCTTCCATCCCTACAAATAAACACATAGCCTTCTCATAGCGTCCCTCTCTAGCATATGCCTTCAGTAGAGAGTTGTAAGTCCATGAATTAGGCGATCGCCCGAGCTCCTTCATTTCCTCAAAAAGCTCCACAGCTTCGTCCAGCCTCCCAGACCTCCCCAGCGAGTTGATCATAGTGGTGTATGATATTACATTAGGGAGGCAGTTCACAGCCTTCATTTCCTTCAAAATCTGGCTAGCAGTGTCGAAGAGACTTAAACAAACACATGCGTTTACCATACAATTGTAAGTAATGTCATTTGGTTGTACACCGGCTTGCTTCATCTCTTCAAAGAGACCCACTAAGTCAGGTAATCTGTAAGCCCTCTTAGTACAAGCATTTATAAGCGTGTTATACGTAAGAACGTTTGGGGAGCATCCCTTTTCCTTCATTGCCTCAAACAAAGCCCATGCTTCTTTAAGAAGGCCTTGCTTTGCATACCTGTCATATAAACAGAGTCCAGGTCAGTGAACCGCGAGAATAGATAGACATACATGTTTTGACGGGTTCTATCCTTAAAAAGTTTCAATCAAAGATTACATACAACGAATAAATAACACTCAACTTCTAACTTCGATGATAGAAGAAGTTAACAATATTCTATTGATTGAAATGCACAAACGCAATCTTACCCACTCAATAAAGCCGTGTATGCATGGACAGAAGGTGCAACGCCAGCTTTGGACATCCCTTCAAATATCTCTCTGGCAAGTCCGAGCTTTCCTTCACGCCCTAGAATGGAAATAATAGTCACGCAGTTATGTTCTTTTAACTCATACTCTAGATGCTCTTGCAAGAACCGGAACACTTGAAGAGCTTGCCTTCGTGCTCCTCGAATCTCCAGTTCCTTCATCATCTGCAAAGTATATATCTTGCTTAGACCACCGCTGTCCAGGTTTTAGGACGAGAGAGATCGACGATTACATACAGTTGCCACAACAGCTCACCTGATCCCAGTAGGTACTCCGGTTCCCAAATGACACTAGGGCTCTATGAAGTGCCTCTTCCATGTTATCAGTATGAGCTAGAATGTCAATCACAGCCTTCCGAACAATTTCGGGGATTAACTTCGTCTTCTTTACATTGCTTGAACCTGAATCATTCGGCGTCGCCTTCGCAGGCTTCGATTTGATCACTAACCGAGAGTTCCCCAACTCAAAGGCTTTACTGTCAGGCAATGACTTATCGGCTGGCTTAGATAATTCGCCCGAAGGTAATTCTTGGGGAGCGTCTGCTTGCCTTAACGGTTTACGCAGCAACGAAGTAGTAATGGAATTTTGACCTCCTCTTCTGCTTGAGAATACTTCTTTAAACTCGGTTGTATGAGCACTATTTAATGATGGTTCCCTTGCAGAATTACCGTCGTTGCTGATCAGAGCTTTATCAGTCGATACATAATCTTCTCGAACATCCTGTGTCTCCTTCGATTTCACAACCCTGTAAAATTTTGCATGATTGAAACATTTCAACGGAGTGCTGAAGTGTATAAGATGTCACCACCGCCATGACAACTACCTTGCACACTGTATTTGCAAAACCTCTATTGAATCAATTACAACGGTAGGTGCAAACAGTCCTCTTATTCACTAGCATCAAATTGAAAAAATCATCTTAACACTCACAGTCAAATCCGAATTCAGGATGTTTTGCGGGTCTGAAGGAATTTCTGTCTACCCAGCATTTGTAACGAATTGGTGCGTACACACATAGAACCCTAAACAGCAAACTCATGTTCGATGCTTGGGAATAATTGTGCCAGCCCAAGGAGAACAAAGTTGCATTTGTAACCATCGAAGTAATCAAATCCCTACAAGTGTTACAAAATTTGGTGTAAGCCACTACCTGAACTCCTGTGCTTGTGTTCGACTGCTACTGTCATCCGCACACATTGCAGAGTTGGCCATGCACAAGATGCAGAAACTTCTGTTTGCAAAAGATCTATGGGGTGTCCTTAATCTTCTGCCTACTACATTTTTCCCTATGCAGCAATGGATTGATGTCGAGATCGAAGTTAGGATGCTCCAAGGCTGGGCATGATGGACACTAGCTGCCCCAGCCCATGAGTGATTCAACATCACCATTCTGAAATCCACGCACTCTCTACATCCTCTACGAGTAAAACTAACGTTACAGAAGCTGTTCTGCGGAAATCAATCGAAACCTGTGACCAAATTCAGATTCCCACCCTCTTCGAATTACCACAGAAAAGCCTCCACGGTCATATCCATTCTCATTTCTCGCTCTCATCGTGGTCCCCATCCCTAAGGCAACCCAAAATGGTTACATCATCACAATCCCAGCTCAATTCTCACCAACGCTAAAACTCACAAGCGAAACACTCAATTTCCCAAAGAATCAGAAAATCCTCACGCAAATGCTCTGCCAGCTGCTCTAAAATCTCGGCTACTACTCACATCTTACACCAAACTCCACAGATGTGACTCCCTGCTCCCCGAACCCAATCACGCGCTAGAAAAATCACAAGCATCGATTATTGAAAACACTCACGACTCCAAAACGCCAAAAACCTTCGTCACCCGTGCACCCAGCCCCACAACAACGTGAATATCCTTTCATTCCACAGCTCAAAACCGCACCAGCTGTGTTCCAACCTTGAGCTTAACTTTTTTGTGGGTCAATCGACAGAGTTCCGCCATGGTCATCTAGATGGTGCGGTCGGTCCCACAGATGGAGCTTGAGGATGCAACGAAAGATGAGCATTAAAATCGGACGGGAGGAAAGCGAGTGTGGGGAGATTGTTATCGAGGTGGAGAGTGGAACGCAGGATTGCCATCTATCTGCAACTAAATTTGTCAGGGATCGGGCTCGTGCTCTTCACCGGATTGCTCCGGATGCCGTTCCGATTAGGGTTTTCCACCATGGTTCCACTGCTAATTGCTCTTCTTCTTCTTCTACTGCTTCATCATCTGGCTATGGTGGCTCTGTCTCCAAACCTGGCTCAGCAGCTTTGTTGCCAGCCCACATTCATGACACATTCTGCATATTCTGATCAAAACATATGGTGCCCAATTAGAACCGTGATTCACTTCATGTTTTTGTTGGCTACCCACAATGTATGATGTTTAAAATTGACATGAATCTGCAATAGAGGAATTTGTTTTTTTGTGACACAGGATGGGATTTTTTTGGATGGTTTTTATTAACTAGATGCTTGAGAACAAAGTATCTTATATCCTAACACCCATGGATTAACCAAGTGTTCATATTGGAATCGAAAATTGTGTTACAGATTAGTATTTGCTATTGATGGATTCTGTTTGATATAGTTTTCATATCCAATTGTGTTCTAATCATATTCTTGGCAGTCCAAGATTTGTTATGTCGTTGCAAAAATGTTTGCAATCGTCTAGTTTAGTTTATTTTATTTTAATCTATTATAAATGTCTATTTTTAAGATTTTGCTATAATTTATTTCTTTCAAATATGTCTCCTTGTATAAAAAATCCATCTAGCCTCCTTTTAAAAAAATAAACCTATAATATTGAGTCAACAAATACATACTTCTTATAAGAAACCAAATTGTATTAAATTAATTTGGATTTAGAAAGGAGTTTAACAACAAATAGAAGTTGTTTTTATATGAGTGCTTTTCAAAAAAATCTACAAAGGTCTCACAAGTTTTCTTTGATTTCTTCTAATTTGAAACAATCCTAACAATCTTAATGAATCTCTCACTAAGATTATTATATTTAGTTTTAAAAATTGATGTAGTACCTTCAAATTTTTTTTCATAAAAAAATATCAAGGGTCAATTCAAAATTTGGTTTCTACTTTCTTTTAGTCATTGGTTATGACAACATAAGTCTATATCTTACAATTTGTTGTATATAATTAGTGAAGAATTTGTTGTCGATAAATTTGTATAAAATTATTAGATTCTTCTAATAATAATTCTTTATTTTATAATTAGTGCCAATTTATTTGCATATTAATAAAAAAAATTATTGACTTGTGATACAAGGTAAAATTATTTATTTATGGATTTTTTTAATATTTATTTTTAGATAATATTATTTAAGAAAAGTCCTATTACGATAAATAAATAAGGTGGTAATAAGCAATCTTCTCTTAATTATAAAAATATTTAATATTTTAATGAAGGCTCCAATTAATCTAACAATCACTCTAATATTGTTGAATAATAATTAAATTATTAGTATAAATTATTAGTCAAGCCTAAACATGTTATATCTTTAAATAAAAAAAATTAAAATATTTTATTATAGGCTTTGATAAAGTCTAATTTCAAAAGTAAAAGTATTTATCTACACATGTCTCTTAATTCTTTAATTATTTCATAGAACTTTAAGTTTTTTTTCTTTACAAAAAAATCTTGTAGTTATAGCTTGGTTTTAAAAAATAACAATATCTTTTTTTCTTTTTAATCCAATATTCTCTTAAAATATAATCATTTATCATATCAAGACTCAATCATATTTTATTCTCTTTCAAATAACAAAGATAGATCTTGAGATAATAAATATTTTTATTATTATCTAAAGCTTCTATCTTTATAAAACTTTATTAAGTATGTAAATTTTAACCATCCATAATAAGTCAAAAGAGGTATCTTAAAGAATAATGTGTAGTTGTCAATTATGAATAAAACCTACCACACTATCTACTAATATTTTATGAAACACATATGTCACTTATTCTTGTTCTATTTTAATCTAAAATATCTTTTGGAATTCCTTTTGAAATATAGAAGTTAAGTCCAATTAATGTTTTTAAAACTCTTATATTTTTTTATTACAAAGATTATGCTTTTGCAACAAAAAGATGTCACATCTATGTTTTATATTAAAAATACAATTACTTAATTAGAAGATTTTAGTGGTTTTATTTAACTTTCAAGGACATTAATCTTGAAGAAAGAAAATCCTCAATACTCTCTTGTATCATTGAAGAGAACTAGAAAGTCATTCAAAAGGTAATGTAATATTAAACTAGAATAGCTATTGCCAAAAACAAGAAGACTAAAAAGTCTTGAAATAAGATTAAGGACTAAAAAGGCGTTGACAAGAGCAAAGAAGGCTTCACTCTTGCCTCCATATATACTCTCTAATTAGGAGCTATGTAGCAATATTCTATAAGACCTCCAACATATGTTGGCTTTATTAGCCACATGTCTAAACTTGTAAGACAAGTTATCTATGTATGCGCCATATAGTTCTATAAGCTACTACATGAAGTTAACTTATTCTACAAGCCAGCAACATGTGGTTAACTTGTTGGCCAAGTTTTCAACTTACAAACACATCTAAAGTCAAAATCATGTCTATAAAGCTTCTAAAAAGTATTTTTAGAAACTTTTATGAAATTTATCTATATTTATCTATTTCTATCTAATCAAATAAGTAACTATTGAAATAAATGTATATGTCTATGATATTACCCTCCCTTTTAGGATTGATTTCCATGAAGAGCGGTCATCATCTTTCATGAATCTTTACAATTCTTCATCTTGATTTTAATAGATCTCATTGATGAAAGGCTTCAACTTTCTTTGCTATATTTGTAAGATTCTTTAATGGCTCCCATGTGCATTCATTGATATCATATCCATGCCAAAGAACAAGATATTTCAACCTATTTTGGCACCGCCTTGAGTCTAAGACTTCTTCCACCTTGAATTCTTGTTTATTATCCACTTGTAAAGGAGGAGGTGGCATTTGTCTTCTTTTTAAGATATTCATTGTCTTATATAGCTCAAGAATGGACTTGTAAAATACATGGTGGATTTTCATAGATTCTAGTAGATGTAGTCGATAAGCAACAAGATTGATTTGTTCACAAATAGGAAAAGATTTCAGCTTATGATAGTTCAACTTATCGCAAGGACAAGTAGTCTTGATATTGCGACAAAGTAAGCATACTTTATCACTTATGTTGAATTATAGTTGCTCCTTGCAATAGGCATCTGCATTGGTCTTTTTTCATTCTTGAGCTTCCTTTAATTGTATCTTCATTGTTGTATATAACTCTGACAAACAATTTGCTAAATCTTCTACCATAAGATTATCAACTTTTAAAAAGTCAAAAGTATCAAGTCATGCATGATAACCATAATTTACAAAGAAACATATTTGTTCAATAGAAGAATGTATCAAATTATTATATGCAAATTGTGTCAATGCCAAAAGAGTTGTCCAATCATCTTGATGATAGTTGATGGTACACCTCAAATACTGTTCTAAAATTTGATTCACCCATTCTATTTATCCATCAATTTGAGGATAAAAAATTGAAAAAAGCTTTATATCTACTTTTAGAATTTTGAATAGGATTCTTCAAAAACTTGATACAAATTGAATCCTCTTATCCGATATAATATCCTTTGGCAATCCATAATAGCAATAGATATAGTCAATGAAAAGCTTAGTTGTGTCTTCACCTGAAATATATTTTGTACATAGTCCAAAATGTGCCATTGTAGTGAAGCGATTTATGATTACAAATATAGAGTCATATGAACTTGAACTTAGAAGATCTGTGATAGAATCAATAGAAATAAAAGACCATGATTGTTCAGGTATAGGCAATGGTTGGAGAAGTCCATAGGATCGATAATGTAGAGTTTTTGATCTTGAACAAATATCACATGATTAGAAAAAGTCTTTTACCGCCTTTCACATTTGTGGCACCAAAAATCTCTAAATATAAGCTCTAAAGTCTTATTATATCCAAAATATCCTACTACTAGAAAGTCATGACATGCTTGAAGAACACATAAACGTACTTCTCCTTATAGAACATATAAGTGTCCTTCAAAGTAGAGAAGGTTGTTCTTGAACTCAAACTTTGAAAAATCATGACTTAAAAGAAAGATTTTTGATATCTTGAACAAGAGGATCAGAGGACATACTTGATTAAATTTTTTTGACAAAGGTCAAATCAAAAATCAATGTTGATTTCATTGCTCAAAGATGAAAATACTTGGACTTCAAGAAGATTATTCTTTATTGATCAAAAGATATGTCTCTTTTTTTTGGTACAAGATAAGAACATCTAATAAACCTTATTATTTTTCAAGTTGATATGTAACCTTGAAATCAAATCTTGACAATGATATGCTTCAACGAACTTGGTGATGATTCAAAATACGTGCCGACATGAAATACTTGAGGTTCTTGTGATCTATATATACTATGACTAGACTTCAAGCACCTTTTAGATAATGACGCCATTCTTAAAATGAATCCATAATTATAAGAAGTTCTTTATTATGGATCTCATAGTTAATCTCAATTGCTAAAAATTTCCTTGAATGGAAAGCTACTAGATGGAGTTTGTCATCTATTTCCATTTATAATAATATTACACTTAAGACAAAGTTTGATGCATCTGTTTCTATAAAAATGCTTTAGAAAAGTTGACACAATACAAAGTTGGTGTAGAAATAAATTTTTTCTTTAAAGTAACAAACGATACTTCAGCTTCTTTTTTCCACTCAAGTTTGTCTTTACAAGTCAAACGTATAAGTGGAGGTACAATTTGAGAAAAGTTCTTGATAAAGATTTGGTAATAATTGGCAAAGTCCAAACAACATTGTACATTTCTTATTATTCTTAGAATCTTCTAATCTATAATAGTTTGGACCTTCTTGGGATCCATTATAAGGCCTTCATTGGAAATGATATATTCCAAAAAGACAACTTGAGTAGTGTAGAATACATACTTTTCTATCTTTGCATATAATCTTATATCTCTTAGTTTTTGTAATACTTGTCAAACATGAACTTCATGATCTTTTATATTCTTAGAATAGATTAAAATGTCGTCCAAATAAAAAATGACAAAATCATCAAAAAATTCACAAAAAACATC